GCGCTCCGCCGCCGCTCGGCCTCCCCGCCGGCCGCGCAGTCCGGCCGGGCCCCGCCGGCCCCGAGCGCGGCCCTTCCGCGGGTCTGACTCCCGGCGGGCCGCGCCACCCTCGGGAGCCTCGCTCGGCGAGGCCGGAGGCCCAGTGCGCCGCCGGGAAACGCCTGCACCCGAAAGGGAGGGGGTGGGGAGCGACGGGAGGAAGGGAGAGCCGGAGCGGGGGCCGAAGGAGGGAGGGGGAGAGGATGGCGAGCGGGAAAGGCGGAGAAAGGGGGCGAGGGAGACCAGGCCGAAGAAAAAGACGGGAGGGGGTTAGTGCTCCGGGCCTGGGCCCTTTACTGAGGTCGGTGGAGCAGGTCCCTCAGCAGCCCGAGGACAGCTCTCTCCACCACCCCACCCCACCCCGCCCCCTGCCCGCCGCTCGCCCCGGGGCTGGCTTCCAGACCAAGGGCACGAGGGGTCGGGGCCTCCCCAGAAGCCGCGTTTGGCCTGATGGAGAAGATAGGGACTCAGAGCCTCCGCACAGCATCACAGTGGAGTGGGCTGGGTCCCCGGCTCCAGATCAGAGCAGCCGTCCCTGCTCTGGCCATCGGGCCCCTCCCAGGCCCGCAATACGCTCTCCCCGGCGGCAGGCTGGGCCCAGAGCCTGAGGTCCCCCTATTTTAGCCAAGGTGGTGAGCTTCCCTAGACTGCTGTCCGCATTCCTGAGCAGAAACACCTGTGTGCTACTGGCCTAGGGATAGGGCCCAGCCTGGCGTGGGTGGCCCCACAGATTCCCATAGATTCTGTTTCCACTGGGGACCCCGAAACCTGCCCAGCTCCTCCTCATCCTCTCAGGTCGGAGACTTTTGGGGTCCCTTCCCACCTGTCTTGTAGCATTCTCTTTGCATTCTTGGAACCTAGAAACCTGGCCTCCGGTGTCATAGTCTATAAGAGGACCCCCTGCCCCCGACCCCTGTCTACACCCAAACCTCACATTTGACCACTGACTCAGTCGCCTTTCCCCAGAAAAACCGAAGGTGTATCAAGGTGTCCGGGTGAAGATAACGGTGAAGGAGTTGCTGCAGCAGAGAAGGGCGCACCAGGCAGCCTCCGGGGGAACCGTAAGCATCACCCCTCACCTTCTCCCCACCTTGTGCTCGGCCTCACTTAACCGTGTGTCTGGAAAGATGTGGGAGGCCATCCTAAGCTCGGCCACCAACCCCAGACCTGGCCTTCCAAAGCTGCCTTTATAACTTCTGTGCCCAGCTTCTTCCCAGCTCAGCACAGGAAGCCACAACACACAGCTGGGGCATGTCGTGGGGTTCAGGATTTCAGGGGAGCCCATCCCTCACTGACCACAGTTGAATACAAAGGGCTTGTTGACCTGGTGCAGGGACAGTAGCAGCCAGCAGGTAAGTAGGTGGTTATTCGGGTAGGAAGACAGTTGTATGTGCCCTCACACATGGAGAGAAAATCTCTCCCAGAAACTCATTTCATTTAGGGAGCCCTTCAAGGAGAGAATCTCTGTGGACATGCCCCCTGCTTCCCAGTCTTACGAAACCCAGCTTCTAAGGTCATTTATCTGTAAATCACCAGGCACAGAAAGTTCCCAGCACAAACGGGCCATGTATCTGCAGAAGAGACAGCTTGGGGTATAGAACCTCCTCCTTAATATGTAGTAAAGCCTTAAGCAGTTCCAGGTTATCATGAGGTGATATGAGGCAGGCGTAAGGGTACCCAGCCACTTTATATACTTTCCAAAGCAGATAGTATTGCTAGGAGTGCTCAGGGCAGCAGCAGAACCAAATAAATTAGGTGGGGTTATCCTCCACCATAGGGCCATTCATTGCTGACAGCCCTTGGTCATACAATTCGCTTGTGGGTTGCTTTGGGTGTGCATGTGGGATATGACAGATGGGCCCACATTGTCAGTGTTAGGGTTGGTCCCGTCCCCAGCTTTTTGGCCTCCTCCCCACGATGCTTTTTGAGCCTGGTGCTCTTTGTGTGCAATGCACGACTTCCTGAAATGGCCCTTTGTGGGAAGAGGCAAGTGATATGGAAGTGATGAGCATGAGTTCTAGAACCAGTAGGCTGGGTTCAGATCTCAGCTCCTCCGTGGTGCAAGCGTATCCTTGAGCAGATCTTTAAGCCGGAGATAATAGAATTTTGTGAGGGCTGAATGAGTTATAAAGCATATAATAAAGCACTTTATTTGAAATGAAAGAGTATGTTCATTTAGCAAGTGCTCGATAAATGTTAGCTGTCGTTATTATTATTTGCAAAAAGCAACTAAAATAAAATTATAGCCAAGAATTGAAAGCCGGCCCTCCAGTAATGTCCATTCACTCCCTTTGCTTAGAGTTTAGAGTTCAGGTGTGGGCCTGCCGTGATACAACCTGCACAGCAAAATTTACATTTACTGGAGAGGTTAGTACCTCCACGTACAGGATTTTAGCTAACACAATGAAGCTTCCTTCCATTTGCGGCGGGGCGTGGGGGTGGGGGGGGGGCGGGTTACAGTGGTTAAAAAGAAAGCACGTTTGCGCACTCATTATTTCATTTAGTTCTTGTAACAACCAGGTGGGGTAAATAAATCAGGATCTGCATGCCTGTTACAGCTAATGTTCAGAGTCGTACAGTTACTACAGGCAGAGCTAAAAAACAGGACCAATGCCTTCTTACTCTCCATATAAAAAGCAAAAAACCTTCCCACCTACTGGCTCCCTAAATTCACCCTTCCACGTGTCCAGCTGCGCTGAGCGGGAATCTGGTACCGTCAGCTCTCGATTCCTTCAGTTCAGAGATGGTTATAAAATTAACAAGAACAGGAACACGGGAACTGGGAAATGCTTCTGGTTGTGAAAGAAAAAGAAACTCATCAGGATGTTCACCACAAAATATAAGCTTTCGTTAAGGAGTGTGGGGGGGCATGGTAGAATTCTGCTTCGATGCACCCAGAGAAACCCCCTTTCGGCACGGCGCTCTTCTTGCGGCTGGCCTCTTACAGGCCGGTTTGGCTACTGTGCCCCTGTTAGCCGATCGCGGGAAAGAAAGCAAGGGTAGAACATTTCGCTTGTGTATCCGACCAGTACCTGTTTCCTGGAGCTGTTTGATTTGTCTAAGTCTTTCTGAATCACCGCCACCACCCCTGAGAAATAATCAAGCCGTACTTCTGAACCACTGCCTTGCAGGAACATGCACAGCGAAGCCTGCTCTCCTTCACTTCCTGGAAGAGTGTATCGACCCACGCCCTCACGGGCACGGAGAAGTAGCACACAGATGATTTCATTATGAGTGCCAGATGTCAAAGCCCTCACTGGGAGCCAGCGGGAGGATCTGGGATTCTAGGAAAGCTGTGAGGGTGTACTCAGGGGACAGAGTGTGCCTGCTTCCCGGTGTAGACCCTTTAGTTTAGCAGAGATGATCTCCAGTGAAAGGACGCCTCCGGGAAGCTTCGAGCCAAGCACGGAGTTAATTTTATCAAATATACAAAGCAGGAAGAAATGTATCTTAATTTGTTATAAAGTCAGAATAGTAGCCACAGTTTGACATTTTAAGAAAGCAATCGTGAATGGAAGTTATAGATTGAGGCAGATGTCAGGTCACACACAAGGTGCCAGGGGAAGTGTGTTTATGCCAGATTTCTAAACTGGATTAAAAAAAAAAAACTTATTTCGGCCAGGTCAGT